TCACTGGCTGTAGGTCTATGGCTCCTCCCCCTGAACTTTCCCTTGCCCTGTATCTGCTCTCTCATTGGCTGTAGGTCTATGACTCCTCCCCCTGAACGTTCCCTTGCCCTGTATCTGCTCTCTCATTGGCTGTAGGTCTATGTCTCCACCCCTGAACGTTCCCTTGCCCTGTATCTGCTCTCTCATTGGCTGTAGGTCTATGTCTCCACCCCTGAACGTTCCCTTGCCCTGTATCTGCTCTCTCATTGACATTAAAGCATGTCAACATATTCTGTTACACCAAATACACAAAATAATGATCTTTAAAATAGCATCATATGACCCCTTTAAACAAGATTAATTTTTCACTTAATTTAATCTTGAAATTCACTTATTGGGAATTAATTTTCCGACTTCTCTCAGATAGCATCTTTGATATCACACACTATGTTATTGTCACTCACGAACGAGCACCGATTCGCCTCCAATTTCGAGCATTTGTCGCAATTATCACAAAACTGTCAGCGATTGAAAATCGGGGCTAAAATCTGTCACATTTGTGTTTAAAACATCCTGCAATAGACCTTAATCAGGTTAGATGAATAGATCAATTTAAGGCAGATGAAAGCTGCGAGAGATAGACTTGTCTTTACGATAGAAAATATAGTGTAATTTTCACTTATAACTTTCAAAATAGTTTTTTTTTCTCTCTGTAAGAGAGTTGTTAAACAAAAGTACATTCCACTGAACACACTGTACTTCAGCTCCTCACAGCCTTGTCTTTATTCCCGGCAAAATTTAAATATGGCGCTACCCTGACTAAGGTCTATTACTTTCATGTAACTTCTACTTAATATCCGTCAACGTTACAATGTTACAACATTTTTTAAGTATATTCAAAGTGAGAAAAAAACTGCTACTTTTGTGACAGAATGTTTGATTATTGAAGATCTTTTTTGGGGAATGTGTTTATGTCAAAACATGTTTTTATTATTATTTTTATTCATTTCAACACAAACCCTTCAGGACATTTATTTTATTAATTTATTAATAAAATTATTGATAATTTATTATTCTTGGTAATGCACAAATCTCTATAATGCATACTCTCAATGTTTAAACTCATATCAATGTTTTTCTCTGTTGTTGTTATTTATTTATTTATTTTTCCTAATCTATTTATTTGGAAATATTACAGTGACACCTTCTGGCGGAATTACGCAAGGACACAGTACCTCTGCTAAAAATGCTCAGCAAAAATAATGTAAAATTTGCAATAGATTAATCATAATCTATTGCTAAGACCCAAAATCTTCCCTACCTAAATTTACAAAATACCTATAAATATAATGCTGTGAATAATTGTATATATATTTTTTTCGTTTGCCGTCATTTTCTGTTTATTTTTAAATATAGCATATTTTAAAATAAAATAAAGTTAAATTAAATTAAATTGCAAAAGCTTTGTAAACACAGACAATGGGATGGGGGCGTGAATGACAGCGAGAGGCGGGGCTTGTGTTGCGCTGATGGATCGAATCAGACAGAGAACCGCGCGCGAGAGAAGCCACAGCAGCAGCGCATTCAAACATTTCCCCATCGAGACGACGCTTCTGCGGCAAACAGATGAAACACGAGATGCCAAATGTGTTCGGTGGGTGTTTTAGAGGCGGTGATGGTCGGGTGAAGAATGAGGACGCCTGATTTGATTTCTGTCACATCTGATGAACGCGTTTTTCATTCTCAGCGCCTGTTATTGTTTGCATGTTTGGCCTCGTTTATTAACTCCCAACTAAACGAGATTTAGGGGGGAGATCAGATAACCATTTTTAAATAGCGCAAAGCGGAAGAACTGTGCGATTCTTCGCCGCGAGCGTCAACTGCAGGAGCAGAAATGTGAAATTTTTCTCTCGCGCATTCAACCATATCGGATGCTTTAATCGATAAAGGTACGTGCACAGATCAGATACACGCAAATCTACAGGAGGAACCTGCTGTTTTCTGGCAGCTGTCATCAGATGTTTATTTGACTCTCTCTCTCCCTCTCTCTCTCTCTCTCTATATATATAAATATATGAAGAAAATGCATGCAATCATCATTACTCATGCTGATGAACGTGCTGGTTTCACTGGTCATTTATTAGATGCCTGGTTTATAGGTGGGACAGGGTTATATAAATATGAGCAAATTAATTTTCAGTCAGCACAGTGGAAGTCATTAATGAAACATGCCATTAATATAATAATTGGATTGATTAATAATGCATGCATGCAATTAAGCAGTGTTATATTACTGCTTAATGCAACATAATGCTATTTGACAGTCTCTAAAGGAAGAAAAATCTGATCTGAAATCTGAGCAAGGTGGTTAAAGATTTGAAATAATATTAGTCAAATTAATAAGCATATGTCAATGCATTGAAACCAGTCACATGTTATAGTTAATTAACAGGAGCTGGAAAAAATTCATACCCAACCACTGAAGGCTTGTTTGAGTTCTCTCTCTCTCTCATCTTGCATTTCATTTGATCAGCCATGTTTCTAGTGTGCGTCTCAAGTCCTGCATTTTGAAGATTTGGCATGCTGTAGGGTTGAGCTTACTTGGCAAGCTCTCCAAGAACTGGATGAACTGATGAAATTATCTCATTATACATGCTGTTGTCTGGATCAGTGGGGGTTCTAGCTTTAGTGTCCCGGGCGAACCCCCTTTCAGCGCCCCCCCCCCCAACCAATCCTCCATCAACAACAACAAAAAGCACCATTCTGCTCTTACTCATATTCAGCCGTTTGGAACAACACATCAATAATCTTAACATTAAAAACTATATAAAAATGAAAATGTATACAAAAATAAGACTCAAAAAGAAGTGAGGTAGATGGGTTTTATATTCTTCTTAATGATTTCGCGCAAACCAGAAAAAAAAAATGTCTTTGAAACTATATATTCACAGTGTTGTTATGACTGAATTGTGGTTTATTTGGTGGCATTTCATAGTGTGACTAATTATATTGTTCGTGATGGATAGTACACCGGTTTGAATTTCGCATATGTATTTTCAAATGTGACCATACCAGTGCATAGCTGAAAAAATTCGTATTTATTCATTAGCCAAAAAAGTATATGACATTGTTCTGCATGCCCTTCTTACTAATTATTATAACTATATATTGCAATTTATAACCCACACAACTCTCACAGACACACTATTACATGACATTTTTAGTTAATCTTGACAAACTGTTTATCAATAGAAGGATTTAGAAAACTAGCTTCAATATTTCACCAGTATGTATGATAAAAAATGGATACAGCGACAGTTTATTGAGTGCAAAATCAACATATCGTAACACTGATTAAGTCTACACACTTGCGTATCTTGTTCTTTGAGTTCCTACAAATTTTGTCAATTTAGAAGTAGTTTTTACTGAATCATGATTTCTTCATTAAAACGTTTGTATGCAGGTTTCACGTACAAATTTCTGTATTCACTTTTTTAAAATATTTGTACAGTAACCGTAAATGATTCAACAGTGATTTTGTTGATTACATGTGTTTTGAAGTAGTTAAGATAAACTTTGGTTAAATTAACATTTTATTCAACAATATATACACAACAACTCCTATGCAAACTGTCATGCTAGTTAAAAGTCATATAACTTGCACTGTCCTGTAACTTTTTAAGAGTCATTGCTTCCAAGATCTCCAAGAGACTGAAGATGTTAATCAATCAAAATGAATGAGGAAATAAAACGAGCTTCACAGAAATAACACTGAGTGCATAGCGCTTTAAAGATATGAAGCCTTATTTCCAAGCATTTAGTACTGTTGCTCTGAGCAAGGTGCATGGTAAACTTTGATTTTTAATGCAATATAGTGCAATGTAGCAACATAGGCTTGTGTTATAGTATTTAATGTATATTGTGTACACAATGAGCAATCCAGTCATTTCTATAGAGCAGTGAAAACAATGCATGCGCTTTGCCATCACAGCTATCTATATGTGGCTGCGCTCTTTCAGATTCTCAACCACTGTCTAGTGCAGGAGCCGTAATCGGATAGGGTCTGTGTCCAGTGGTACTTTATACTGGAGAAAACTTGTTTGATTACAAAGGATAAAACTGAGTTTTTTGGTTCCCTGACGAACAATTTGTTTGTGGTGAGTAGCCTTGATTTAATATAAAAAGCTTTGTTTATACAACTACACATGCTGAGTGAATAGCAATGCATTATCTGACAGGAGATGGGTCACATGCACTCCACTGACTCCCATTGGTAGTCGCTCCCAAAAGCCGCTTTTTCTCAATTTTGTTGCATTGCTGGACACGCCTAATTCTGGTTGCCAGCTCTTCAGTGAAAGTCAATGGCATCATGGCGCTTTGCTGCTGGTGGTGTAAACTGGGCTTAACTCACAAGCTTAATTGATCCACAGAGTGAAGATTTAATTGATGTGACATGCAAATAAGCGATAGAAAACGAATTGTGCAAATCGCCATTTCAAATTTTGTGACGCCCATACCTCAATCCTCCATTGGTCTAAATCAGTGGTTCCCAACCATGTTCCTGGAGACTCCAGCACTACACATTTAGCATGTCTCCTTTGTCTGACACACCCATTTCAGGTCTTTGACTCTCTACTAATATGCTTATGACCTGAATCAGACCACTGGTCTAGATGAAGCTTTGACAGGGCCAAATATTTCCTGCCTATTTTTGCAGTATTTGAAAAGTTACGTGCAAGCTGAAGTTCAGGATAGGGGTTGGCGGCGGTATGAACAACTGAACATTATGTGCATGCAGAACTTGGCAGTTTGTGAGTCGCTAAAAGATGCAAGAGCCATTTTAGCAGCTGGATAGTTTAATGTTTTGATAGGTCAAAGGTTTTGCCAAACCCTTTTCAAAAAGTAACAGCGTGAATTGTAGTCTTTCAGTATGTGTGGTAACTTGGTAAGCAACCATGTTTTTTTCTTTTATTTCGGACCATATCTGTTTCGAACTTGCTCACAAATTGCACTGCAATCATTTTCCAAATTGTGTGGAAATATTAAGAAAGTGTGTAAACAGGATGTTAACGGGGATCAGAGATGGAACGGAAAATACTGTACACGGCAGACCAAGATCACTTTTTGAGATGCGCAAAATATTGAAGGAAAGTTCTAAATATTGAGTGTGGGGGGTTATATTTTTAAAGAATGTATATCTGAAGGGAACTGACTGTCTTTAGAAAAGATTTGATGAGATTTTCATTTGGTCTTACCTCTGTGTAGACCTGGTTTGTGATCACCAAGGAAACACTATATTGCTGCTATTCCATAAGCGCCACCTACTGTCAGAGAGTGAATTTGCATTTTTAACATAATTTAAGAAACCATTTAGTTTTGCTTTAAATATTATGATTATACAATCTAGTTTAAATAAATAAAAAAAGACTGCTCATGCTACATGACTTTAGCATATTTGTTTGGATCGTGATTATGCAGCGATTGCCTCTAATTTTAAATGGCTACATATTTATTAATTTTTTGTCTAAGGCCAGTTTAGCCTGTAATACAGCAAATAAGCATCTGGTTCATGTGCTTTTTTTATTCTTTCTTGTCTCTTGCTTAAAGAAACGAGGCTTTTGGGATAGACTATTGGAAACATTAGCTTGTAAAACAACTGGAATCAGCCATTAAAAATCATGATTAGTGCATCCCTAATTTTTGCCTTTGAAAAATGACTCTGGTGCTTTTTTTAAAAGATATTATCTTGCTAATGACTGAGAAATACACTGCCTAAAAGTCATGCGAACGGACAATTTAATTGTAAGTGAATATTTTAACACCTCACCACCTTTTGAAAGGATATGTCAGGCCAATTTTGGTTTTAGTCAGAAAAGCCCAGGCTTGCATGATGAAGCCTCAGTGCCAGCCATGCAGCAGAACTGGTGAGAGCTGGATCCTTGTTATGTAGCAGGAGTCGTCGAAAGCAGCACAAACGAGTGGGAGCGGACTGGACGGGGGTGCTTTCACAAGCCTGTCGCAGGAGCGGGCGAAGCATGGCTTTCATCGCACACATCCACGTGTGATCTGTCCACTCTGAATGTGAACAAGGGGCGTAGCTCAACACAATCAATCCCGAAACACCGCCAGTCACTGCGGTTTCTCTGTTTGCATGCTATCGCACACTTGCAGTGTGTTGCAGCTGAAGAGAGCGACACATAACTTATATATTCTCATGACGTCTATGGTGCTTCACTTGGGTTGAATGAATGTGTGGCCGCTCGGTTGCAACGTTAGTAACAAGCAATTAATAAAATGTGTTGTGCATTGCTTTAGTTGTGGCCGGTTATGACAAAAACCTCTGATTCATATGGAAGGGATGTTTTTGCTTTTTATTATATTATATAATGCTCACTACATGGTCGCTTTGTCTCGATTTCTGCAACACAGACACTCAAAACGTATTGAAGTGAAGCACCGTTCCTCTTGTTTATTACATTTCAAACATCCCTGCATCACAGAAGTCATGAAAATACAAAGTATTTGTTCTTCTGCTGAGCGTAAGAGTGTGTGTGTTAGAGCAGTGTTGTTGAAGAGCTGAGGATGGGCGAGCACCCCCCACATCTCTTTCTGCCTCTTGCTGTTTCCATGGCAATCACTGCACAATTACTCATGACATCAGCTCTTCCCTTTTTTCCCACACAGTGGAATGACATGGGGGAAAAAAACTCTGCAGAGTTCAACTTAAAGAAACCACCACATCACTGTTTTGTCTATTTTTTCCAAAGTAAGAAGCGCTGTGGTCAAAGCTCAGGTGAATCCTACTTTTAAATCAAGTAGCAAGATGTATTTGGTTACTTTTGTGTGTGTGGTTTTATTGACTTGATTCATCTTCCTTTTTTAAAGGGGTCATGCATTGAGAAATCTTATTTTACTTGATCTTTTGACTAGGGATGTGCGCGACGACTAATTTGACTGACGTTTAAATGAAAGTTTTGTATCCGACTAGTCGACTAGTCTAAAAGCAAGAAACCCCCAAAAGATGGTGAAAAAAAACCTCTGTGCGTGCGTGTAGCATATATAATAGCCTATATTTGAAATACTTAATCTATGAATCACACTGTCAAATCCCTCAGTGAATTCGCTTGCCCCACACTTGCCTCGCGTTAT